AGATCAAGACAAGGCCTTTGGGCCTGGTTTTTGTTTGCTTTTTATTTATTTATTCATTTATTTGATTTTTACCCCGCCCCTCTAGACAATGTCTACTCGGGGCGGCTTACATAGATAAAAACACATTAATACATTAACACGTTAATATAACTTATATAAAAATACAATTATAAGAATTAATTCCAAAACAACACATTTCCAAGATGGCATAACAAAAGAAAAATTGTGATTAAGGACAAGGTTAATAATTTTATTGAGAAGGTGAAATGATTGTAAGAGAACTGTAACTCTTTGATACTAAAGTTCAGGAAGAAAGCCAGTACTGTACATGGTAAATGAAGAGGATGTTACATTATACTTCAGCAGTCTCCTCAAAATGAGAATTAGATGCCAAATTATAATTTGAAAAAGAGAAGCTTTCCAGAGCGACATTCATAGTTACAATGAAAAGAAGAGAATTTCAATAACTAATATGATCTTTCAGGACCAAAATTATGAAAAGATATTGTCCAATATTCATTTAGGTCCCTTACATATTTTTTTCCAAATCAATGGTAGATCATTGTGTATAGCTTGTGTTTAGGAGTGCTAGGGGAAGAAAGCCTTTTGAAATATTTCTAGTAATAAAACACTCATGTTAATGAGAAGTAAATATTCTTATCCTGATCATAGCATTCTGGAGATTTTTTAGTTAATAGTTAGAGAAACTGCAAATGATGGATGTTTCTAGGTAAATAAATGTGACAGGAGGTTTAGCTGAATTACCAGCATTCCGTTTTTTATGACACAGTGCAACAGTGTGCTCCAACTCTTCTTGCTAAAAGTAACAATTGTACTTCACAAATAGTAGATGAGGTTATAGCACCTTAGTGAGATGATGAACAGGCTTGGTCTATTAACGTGGAATTCTTGCTAAAGAAAGTACTTTGTCCAGTCTAACAGACAGTAAGCTGTTTTTACGCTGCTGACTGAGAACAGGGAAGGTGGAGTAACATTTCGTCAATGTAGCAAAACAGTTGCGTGATTTGCATTGGTGTATTTTTAAAACAAGTTTATTAGTTTCTAACTTTCATTAAGGTAATTTGTTGCTGAATGAATTGAGAAAATGAGAAACCCGGTAAAGTGGACTTAGAATGAATTTAGGGATGTGACCATTCCAGGCACTCAAGCTGGGAAATCAGTAATATATCTAGGATTCTAACTGAAAGAGACCGTGATTTTGGAGAACAAACAAACCAAATTTCATTCAAACATATTTAAGGTTGCTTAGTCAGAGAGATCTGTGGGACGTGGTGGCACTACGGGTTAAACTGCAGAAGCCTCTGTGCTGCAGGGTCAGAAGACCAGCAGTCGTAAGATCGAATCTACCCAACGGAGTGAGCTCCTGTCGCTTGTCCCAGCTCTTGCCAACCTAGCAGTTTGAAAGCATGTAAATGCGAGCAGATAAATAGGTACCACTTTGATGGGAAGGTGTCTAATCGCACTGGCCATGTGACCACGGAAACTGTTTACGGACATACGCTGGCTCTATGACTTGAAAACTGGGATGAGTACCGTGCCCTAGAGTCAGACATGACTGGACTAAATGTCAAGGGGAACCTTTAGAGAGAAGAGAGGTTGTAGATGAAGTGTATGTGATATGCTGTATGGTAGAGTCCAGCAAATGTTTATGTTCAAGGGCTACCAGAAGTTGCCTATAATAGTGTCCAATTAGGGTTCCAGAAAAGCCAGTCTCCAAATCGAACCAAACCTGTTATTTAAGCTAGGAAATCAGTAATGTCTGCAAAATGTCATGTTTCTACCTCTTGTTCTTTCAGAGACCTTCCACAAGAATTTTTTTTCAGAAATATTTATTGGATTCCAATTTTATATTTTCTGCCTTTGTATATCATTGTGAAAATCCAGTAGCTGCAGCAGAATAATAATAATAAAGATTTAAAGTCTGCGTTGGGTCCGAGGGAGATTTTTGACAATGTAATTCCATTGGCTGCAATGCTGTGTCCACTTACTGGTAATAAACACCCAGTTCAGCTCAGTGGGATTTACTTCTGAGTAAACACATGCAAAGTGGGTCAAATTGCACAGAGGATTAAGGTGGAACAAATTAACTCTCTTCCTTTTCCTTTTCATGAGCATATCCAAAATAACTTCAAGGTTTCATTTTATGTTACTTGCCACCACATTTGCATTGTTTTCACATTGTGCTTCTCTGTGCTGCTTCCCTTGCTGTTTTCAGTTACATCGTCCAACCCCCCGTTTCATCCTGTGGGAATGGTGACCCATGTCAATAATGCTTCATGCTTCATCATCTGACATTAAGAACTTTCAAAAGCCACTGCCAGTTGTATTAAACAGCAAATTAGATGATGAAGAACAAGGTGGTAAGGGTGTAAAATGATGAAGAAAGTAAATGGTGCTGGGGGAAAACCAACAAGAATAATAAAGAAAACCAGAAACTTTAGCAGGCAGCCAGATTGCTAACTGGTTCTGGTCACAAACCACATAATGCCCCCTCCCCTTATAGCAGCTCCACTAGCTGCTGATGCATTTTTCGGCACAATTCAGTTCTAACCTATAAAGCTCTAAACATCTTGAGTCCAAGCTATCTCAAGGACTGTGTCTGCCTTTATGAGCCTGCTCAGGTCTTCAGGATATGGCTTTCTCTTGGTCCGTTCCCCCCCCCCACCTTCACAGATACGTTTGGTGGGGACATGGAAGAGACCGTTCTCCGTTGCTGTTCCCACACTTTGGGACTCCCTCAAACAGCCCCATCTTTGCTGTTCTTCCACAAGCAGGCAACCTTTCTCTTCAGGCAAGCTTTCCCTCAACGACTAGTTGCCTGAGTGGGATTTTTAAATGGATTTTTGTGCCTTACTGCTTTGAATATGGTTTTGGTGTTGGTTTTGTTTACTGTTTTTTAATGTGGTATTTGCTTGATCCTTTTTAGCGTTTGTACACTGACTGGTTTTAGCGTTAAATATTGTCTTTTAATCTTTGGACCTTTTTTAAGGAGAAAAAATATTATAATAAAATGAATGAATAAATAAAAGTATGCTGTTGTTCCTAATGGCAAGTAAAGCCCATCTATACTGAGAGCGGTGTTTCTTGGGCAATTTTGGTCAGTCAAGAAAAGCTTAAACCAGAGGTCTCAAACTCAATTTACCTGGGGGCCGCTGGAGGCAGAATCTGGGTGAGGCTTGGCCGCAGCAGATTTTCCGCCAAGCGTAGCAAGAGCTCGAGGAAGCTGCCCAGGAGTTTCCTTAGCCCGGGTGGGGCTTCGAGGAGGAGGAGGAGGGGTGCATGAGTCCTCCTCTCCAGCCACGCCCCCCTACTGCTCCTTCTTCACTACCACCACCACCACCAGGACGAAGAAGCAGAGAAGGGAGGGAGTGCCGGCGCCCACCTAGCGGGGGGAGGGGGGCACAACATAACATTTTTGAAAACCCTCACAGAATCGCCTTGCCAAAGGAGAAAAGCCCCCATCGGTACCCACAAAATTAAACAGAACGGGGCAGACTCCCCACAGGTGCTTGCAGGCACATGCGCACACACACACACACACGGGGGTCTGGCAACCTTCCTCTGAGGGCCCCCCTCAAAAAAAAGCACACTCAGCAGCAGCTACCCCCACCACGACAGAGGAGCAAACTTTAAGAGGCAAGCCCAGGCAGCCTCCAGAGCTGAGGCAGCTGAAGCAGGATGAAGAGGAGGAAGCACCGCTGGGTACTGAGGCGGCCGCTGGCCAGGCTGGTGCTGGGGGTGCCAAGAGAGAAAAAGAGCCACCAAGCCGCTTCCTTGGAAGAGGTGGTGGCGGCAGCTGCTGTTGGTGGTGATCTTGGAGGTGCTCTTCGAGGACAGGCCGGGAGCGAGCTCCGCTCTCAGGCATCACTCGGTGGCAGCTCAGGCGCTTGGGGAAAAGGGCTGGCAGCGTGCCTCGCTCACCCGCTCTCCACCCTCGATCCGGAATGGCAGCCTGCCAAACGGCAGACAGGTGGGGTGGCTGACAGGCTGCAGTTCCGGATGGAGGGTGCAAAAGGCGCTGTCTTGGGAGAGAGCTGGCGTGTGAGGTGAGGCTTTTTTTAAACTCTTGACAGCAGAGGATGTGTGGGTGCTTTGGAGGGGCAGGCAACGTGGGGGCCGCAAACTATCATCCGGCGGGCCGCAAATGCCCCCCGGGCCACATGTTTGAGACCCCTGGCTTAAACAATTGGTAACTTCCATAACAAGTGCCACCAAAGGGAAAGGTAAAAATGGAAGCTTCTCTCAGAAAATTTACTTTTGCAGAATTTGAGTGCTTTCGGCCTTGGTTTGCCTTAGTTTTGAGAGAACCTTCAGTTTTTAAAATTGGTCTGATTATTCCTTCTACAAGATTGCATAAATCCTTTTCCCTTGTGATTTTTTTTTTAACAAACAGGGGCTTAGGCTGCATCAGTGGCCTAAGGACCGCTCTAAGTGAATTTTGATTCCATTGCTTTTTTTTTCATTTATATATTCCTCCAACATACACCAGTGACTTCACAACTTTGTTTTAATTTTTTTTTCTTCTGATCTGAATTTTCCTGAATCAATTTTCCTACATATTTTCCTTAGTCTTCAGGAACTTGTTACTATATGCCTTCCTTTCATAATCTTTAGGCCAAAGACTGCTATACGTCAGAGAACATAGTGAGCTTTAATTAGAGGACTGATGGAAGATTATAAAGGACTCACTGTGGCTAATTTTGCATGGTATAATTTCATTTGATACTTTAATCCAGATTCTTCGACATTGTTCATCAATTCATTATGTTGTGTTAGAATTTTTTTATTTTCCTTTTATTCCTTTTATATTGTGCCTCCATTTCATGGTTCTCATTCCCTCTTTACCTGCTGTGGTTTTAAAAAGTCTTCAATTTAATTGTGCCTGTGAATAGACTCAGATAATTTCTGCTTACACTCTTTCACCCCTGACGCAAATAAAGAATCTTATTTTCAAGACTCATTTTTGTTTTGTTTTTCAGAGTACTCAAGTGGCCTTGCACCATCTGGAATCTGTTCCTGAGAAACTGAACCTTTTAGAAGATTTCAGAGATTTTGGAGTGAGAGTGTTTGGTGATCTGTTTCATTAGAAAATATATAGCTTTTTCTTGTACCAGAGGAAACCTATTATACCAGAGGCATAAAATGTAAACTCTGGTATATTTAAAGTCCTTTATTTTATTTGGATGTCCATTGTATGTCAAAACACAGGATAGGAGGACTTGTCCTGTACCAAATTTTTGTTCTGTTCCGATCCTATATCTCCCATACAGTCCTTTCATCCTATTTTGAATCCAAATTCATGAAACTGAGCCAAATGATACCTGTATTATAATTGTTATAGTTTAATAACATTATGGTAAACAGCTGGGGATTAATTTGTCTCTTTGCCAGATTTTGATATGTTCACAGTATTTTGATAAGGAGGGTAGTTATTAGTGCAGAAACAGTCCTTAGTTGTGTTAATATTTGAAAAGAGGTCAATTTTGTTTGGTTTGTTGAGATACAGTGCCATCCAGTCCCCTGGTACAGGCTTCAAAATGATGATACACTGGATGTTTGTGATCTCACAGCTACCTTACTTATTGATAAGCCTGCAAAGACTGTAAAATCAATAGAAAATTGTTTGAATATCTATTTTTTCATTATATTGAGTAAATACACCATTTTATGCCAGGAACAAAATGCATGCCAGGTTTTTCACATGCAAAATAGTGATTCCAGCATGGGATAACCTTTACTTCAGTGTTCAGATAAACTGGGGTGGTGGTGGGGACTGGCAAATAAAAATTCCTCACTTCTGCAGAAATCGGATTAAGGGCCATAGACACATGGCCAAATTTATTTTGCTGGAATATAGAGGAACTAGCAAACTAGCTTCTCTAGAAGAAGAAACTATTATTCACCACTCCACCTCTTCCCAATTTGACAAGGTATCACTCTGTGTAGTAGAAGGCTGCCTTACCCTAGAACCATCAGGATTGAACATGCAAGATAGGGAACCTGTGTTTCTTTTAAATAGTGCAACCATCATGCTTGGCACTGTACAGCACTTGTCCCAGGGACTATATGACACAACTGCTGCTCAAGATGCAAATCATTCAGTAAAGATTCAAGCCTTAGTAGCCACAGCCAGCCAGTGCCTCCCTATGGTGTCTTCTAGTGTTAAGAATTGGATATTCTACTTTATTCTAAGGGAATTATTTTATCAGTTACGTTACTAATACTAAAATTCAACAATACTGGACATTTTTTCTCTGTCGCTTCAGGATTCTCACAGGCAAACAGAAATCACTGAAGAGAGATACAGTAAATACAAGGAAATCATGGGCTCTTTACAGCAACATCTGAATGATTCAAAGCGAAGACTTGAAGACTTCAGGGTAGGTTTACCTTCTCTCTTCCCCCACTGTGTACTTTAAAGCCATCTTTTAAAGTTTGAAGCTATTTGAGCTGTAAGTGCTCAGGCTGTGAAAAAATGCCTAATTTCATAAAGTAATGTGCCAGTTCTGTTATTTGAAGCACACAGAGACATTTTATTGCCTTGCTAAATGAGACTAAAAGTTTGTAAAGACCAGTGTTGCTTGGAAGTGACCTCGGAAGCTCATGAATGGGGAATAGTGTAGAAAAACAGCAGAGCCTGTTTGAACCGTTCATTCTGGCAGCAGGCATAGTTTTGGAGTGCAATGTCATACTGGATGAGCTTCCAGAAGAAGGGTAGGATGAATGTAAACCCTGTCATTCTTCCATGATTTCTCAATAACTTCTGATACTATTGACCACAGTACAGTGTGCCTCGTTTAACGATTGCCCCACATTACAACGAATCCGCTTTACAACGATCTTTTTGCAATCGCATAACGATGATCTAAATGGGGGAATTTCGCTTTACAATGATCGGTTCCCTGCTTCAGGAACTGATTCTTCGCAAAACGATGTTTTTAGAACAGCTGATTGGCGGTTTCAAAATGGCCACCAGGTAATTAAAATGGCTCCCCGCTGTGTTTAGGGACGGATTCCTCGCTGTACAGGCAGCGAAAATGGCCGCGGTATGGAGGATCTTCGCTGGACGGTGAGTTTTTACCCCATTGGAACGCATTGAACAGGTTTCAGTGCATTTCAATGGGGTTTTTATTTTCGCTTTATGATGTTTTCGCTTAACGGATTATCGTCGTTAAGCAAGGCACCACTGTATTCTTTTTGAGTGTCTCCAGGAGGTTGGGGTTAGAGGCATTGTATTGGTACTTCTGTTCATAACCTGCATGGTTGTTTCTAGAGCATGGCATGGGGGGAATTCCGTCATTACCCTTTGGTAATGGGGTCATGTAGTGCCACGAGGCTCAATCTTCAGTGCTTTTCAACATCTGTATGAATCTGTTGGTACAGTAATTAGGGAGTATAGCATGGTGTGTCATCAGTATACAGATGGTAGTTACCTCTGTTTCACCTTTTATATCTGACTCAGGTGTGCCATGCACAACTTGGACTTGTGCCCTGATGCATTAGGAGTTTGGATGAGAGCTCAGCAACAGAGACTAAATCCAGTAAAGACAGAGGCCCTGTGATGGCTGGCTCTTGAATTGCTAGATGGCATTGTTTCCCTTCAGTAGGGCCAGGTGCAAAGTCTGTCACTGAAGGCCCAAGTGATCTCAGTGTCAAGAACTATCCATTATCTCTTTCATCTGCTATGGCAGCTACAAGCATTCCTGGATAGTAACAGCCTGGCCACAGTGATTCATATGTTGGTAACTTCAAAACTGGACTTTTGTAATGTGGGTGTACCCTTCAGGAGCTGCAGCTAGTAAAGAATATGGCACCTTCTCTGCTTAACTGGAGTTTCCCAACATGCATGCATAACTCCTGATCTAAAAGATCTGCACAGATTGCCAGGTTCAGCTTCAATCCCATGCAGATACTGTCTGTCTGTCTGTCTGTCTGTCTGTCTGTCTGTCTGTCTGTCTGTCTGTCTATCTATCTATCTATCTATTTATTTATTTATTTATTTATTTGATTTATACCCCGCCCATCTGGTCTAAAAGACCACTCTAGGCGGCTGGTGATACAAGGTGCTATTTTCACCTTATAAGGCCCTAGACAGGTCAGAACTAGGTGGGTTAAGTCAGAGATCACCTTTGCCAGTATCAACCACCTTGTTCTCTAAATCTGTGAGTATAGGGGACAGCTCTGCTAATAAACGGCAGCTAAATGAAACTGAAATATGGCAGTGAAATCAGTACTGTATCAGATTTTTGACAGCCAGACCAGGATAGGCTAACAGAGTAAGCCCAGAAAACATAATTGGGATGGGAAAATATGTGGTCCTTCAGACATCATTGAACTGCAACTTCTATTGTTAATCCAGTCCATACAATTCATTTGCAAATGTTGGGGGCAATTGATAGAATTAATCATCAAGAAATTAATCAGGGGATGTCTTGTTTGGTTGTAGTGCAAAGGAGGGCCCTGTTGTAATGACCATCCTATTTTCCCATCGAGATAAGGAGGACTCCCAGTGTTGAATGTTAACCTAGGCATTTTCCTGATTCATTTCCTGAAGGTTAATTCTATCAGTTATCCGAAGTATTCATAATGAATTGTTTGTACTACATGAAAAATAGGACCATGCATTGTCCATTCCAGTTGTATGTTCTCCCGGCTTACTCTGATGGACTTCCCTGCTCTGGATATTAAGAAACTGATACAATGCTGACTCCATCACAGAATTCCATCTTCATTCAGCCAGTAAGAAGTATGACAGAAGTTGCAATGTAGCCTTTATGATCTTTTGTTTTTCCTGTTGTGGTTGTCTGCTAGAGGTAATAAGAAAGAAAGTTCAGCACTCATTTCTGGCTTGCTTGAAATACCTTTTCATTGCTAGGACCCCTTGATCTCTGCAGAAACTGCCTTGTGTGCCTCAAAGACTCACTGAGCTCAACTGTCTAATTTTGTTTTCTCTTTTCTTGGTTTAGAAAAACCCACATGCTATTTTTCTTTCCTGTCCACTTCTGATATGTTTCTGAGTACCTTCTCAACATTCCATCTAGTTTTTGTCTAAGGCCAGGATGGTGTACAATAGCCCTCAAGGGCTAGTTGTTGTTTTTAAGGCTCTAAGAAGCTGTACTTGTTTTCACATGCCTCCAGATGAATGAATAAATAAATAAATAAATACATACATACATACATACATACATACATACACACACACACACACACACACACACACACACACACACATACTCACACACACACATACACACACACATACATAAAT